TAATACATATTTATTTCTTAATAGTTTTTATAATACAGACTTTCACTGACTATTATCGATAGCTTAGCTCGTAAAACCAATAATACTATTCGCTAAGTGACGCTATAGCTATTATATAATTTTACTTACTATAACTTTAGGTGAAAAAAATATATGGCCTTTTGAGAATATATGTCTAAGTGATTTATAGGCAAAAATGATGCTTCAATTAAAGAAAATAGCCCCGCAGGGTAAATGAAAAAAAAGTAAAAGCTACGTAATTTCATAGAAAGCGACAAATGAAATTAGCCCCATCTACTATTTCCATCACGTACGAAGAGAGACTTTTCGTATGAAAGTAAATAAAAAGCCTTCACTGGATGTAAATTATTTCGTCTGGCTATACAGAATGTCACAAGGAAAGGTCGTTTTGGTCAGAGGTTTATGTTTAAAAGATTTTAGGTAAAGTTGTATATATTAAATTTCTAATTTACAAGGAATTTTCACGATATTTTATAAACAAATGGATAATATTAGTGCAATGATGATTATACGAGCTTTGTTCATTCCCTCACCCTCCTTAATCGCCAGATCTAACTCCTTGCGAGTGTTTCTTATTTTCGAAATTAAACTGTGGACTTAACGTTCTGAAATTGTAAATGTAATAAGAGAAATGTGTCTTGTACAAGCTCATAAATGAGCAGGACGTGATATCGGTACAATGTTCTGTTTAACTTTTAATTCATCGCAGAATTTCGAATTTCCCGTATATTTACGTTTTACCAAAGCAATTATACACGTTATATGCAGTATTATCAAACTTTAGACTATAATTTAAAGCAAGGTTTGACGTTATAGCCGTCTGTTAAATATCAAATAGGTTAATTGGTTTTGAGAGGGCATTATGTGATTCTAGTTTCGAAAAGTATCAAAGGGAAACTTTATTTTTATTCTGGATAACCACTGATCTTCGTCCAACTCGTCGCGCATTAGTCTTCTCTAGGGTTTCGTCCTATTAATGTAATTAACGACGTCCATCGACTATTTAATCCTTTTACAATGAAATGAGCACGAGGTAAACGTACTACGCTGACAGGTTTCCATTAAACAAGAATAAGTATCACGTAATTAAATCAAAGAAGTTATTATTTTTTGTTTTAATTTAATCAAAAGTTTTATCATCGTCATTTATGAATTGCAGGCTGTTAAGTATTGTTTAAAAACAAATTATCCTTTTTAATGGCTGTTTTATACCATATAACAGATAGAATGTCACAAAAGCCCTTTTTTCCGAATCCCTTTAATGAACTTTGTCATCATTATAGCGGGTAATCTTTAAACGAGGGAAAGTTGAAGTAAGTATACACATCTGTATAGGAAATTAACGAAGCATCTAGCCATTATCGTTATCTTCAAAGACGGAGCCACTGACGTTAACGCCAACAGAGTAAATGGGTGCGCAGTTAGTTGATAATGATAACAGTCGATATTTAGGTTTGGTGAATTTATATTTTTGTTTATTCATCAAACAAATCAACAAATTTATTTTATTTGAAACAGTCCTGTAAAATTCTTTAAAGTAGATTTAGCAATTCCACACTCTTGACTGGACAAAGGTGATCGTGATATTAAATTAACAATTCCCATTCACATAAAATAAATTCAGCAGCAATAATGTCACAGGTATTATTTATGTTTGTTTATGCTCATGTGAATGTCATATCAAATCTGATAACATCAGGTTTTTTATTATTTTTTTATTTAATTGGGTATTTCCGTCATGTTGAAAAGAGAAAGAAATTAAACAGATCGCACTAAAAGAAACAGTGGTTGATTTTATAAACTCAGTTCTGCCTAACCAGAAATATCTCACACTGAGAAAAGTAAGTACTTATATAATTGTTCGCGATTTCGTTACACCATTTCTAATTTCTAATAATTTTTCTGTTTTCGTTCTTACAACTTTGAATAAAAATGATTGAAAACCTTCAATAACAAATAATTATTCGATTTTCGACCATTTTGATTAAAAGTTTTAAGATCGAAAACAGAAACAAATTTCGAAACATTAGCTTGACGTATGTTTATATTAAACTACCACATTTCAGACAATATCCGACAAAACCAGTTTATTATTTTGAATTCTCAAGATACAAAATCGAGCCAACACTAACGGTAAGTGTTTTTCTTAGTTAACGCTCGGAAGAATCGAATTAGATATAACAATTCACGCTCCGCCGATTCCTTTAAAAATATAAACAATTTAATATGGTAATGTTTGAATTTACATGAAAAATTAAGTTCCAGAGACTTGTTCCGTTGATGAAAAAGGGTCTATTTATAGAAATAAATATGAATAATCGCACTTCTTTCTCGAAGACATAATGGAATAGAATTGTACGGTTCCGCGTCGTTTAACCTTAATCACAGACATAACTGGAGTGGTATCCATTTTTATTCAAATATGTTCATTTGTTGTTTGGTGTAATCATTATAATTTAATGCGTTATTTAACATTTATGACTGCAAAAGTTTAATTACAGACGAATACCCCCAAACACTCGACTCTCAGAAAATTGAAACATTTCTGTCTGAAACGCAATTTTTCTACAGCATAGTATTGTGATTTCTTCTCGAAAGCAAAAGCAACAACAAAATAACAAACAAATCGTAATAGCGCATCTTCTAGGATTTAATATTTACACAGAGACGATGCCCACTCTATAATTAAATAATGCACGATTCCCGCGGCATCTAAATAACAAGTAAGAAATCACAACGCGCATAAACACCTCGTTAAAATGCGCCGGCCTTCGACACGAACTCATCACCGTCACAATCCCACAATCGGCCGGATCACAGCCGACACACCGGCCGACTGGATGTTCTCCGGCCCGTCCGGTGGAAATCAAGGTTGGCCGAGTTTTTATGGGAAAAAATCCGCGATGCCAGTATGCGAGTCTCTGATAAACCGGGAGGATGGATGCTGCGAGCGATATCGGGGTAATAAATAACGGGCAACGCGGCGTCTCAAGGATTTTTTAAAAGGGGTGGGATGTTACCGGAAAGGATAATTATTGGTGGCGGTTAATTTATGGGTTATGGGTGGTTCTGAAGATACGGACGCCGGGTTAAAGGAAATTCGCGAATAATTCCTCACGATGTATTCTGTTCGGTACCTAATTCAATAAATACATCTCTTATGCTAGGCCTTTACAAAGCTAGCTACGTTCGCTATGTTCAATAAGCGAGTTAAAAATAGCATTAGCTATGTTCGCTATGTTCATTGGGTGAATTAAAAATAACGTTCGCTTTGTTCATTGGGTGAATTAAAAATAACGTTAGCTATGTTCGCTATGTTCAGTATAGCTATGATGCTATTAAAGATAGAGATAAAGATAGCGCACGGTATGTTTGCTACGTTCGCAATGGTACATGCTGCAGTGCCTCAGAGACATTTAATTTTTTAATGTTAGGATTGTTAGAAATGCTAAGTCACACAGAACGCTGTTAGCTATGTTCGTTATATCTATTATGTAATATGTTCGCTATGTTCATTTTGTGTAATATTAAATTGCATATGATTTATTGCTACGTTCGCGATGGTAGATACTTCGATTAAATTTAATATTTAAATGCTAGGATCATATATCAGGTCACACAAAAGATTACGTTAGCTATTTTCGCTATTTTAATACAGATAGCTATAATGAATCTTCAAAATATCGCTGAATTCTTGTTAATTTTATTTAATTGTGCCCAATAACAAGTGAACACTTGTGAGATATTTATTGCCCCTGTTGTGTAATGTTTTTGTATGCGTATAGACGCGGAAATCATTTTTTTATGAAAATATTCTTGCAACGATACCGGAATTCATTTCAAAATATATCTTATTACTAAACATATTTATGGTTCACGTATTTAACATTACCGACAAAATTAGCATACTGTGCGGCTTTCTTCGAGCGTTTTACATTTTTCCTGGGGTCGTTTCCGTAACCTTCCTGGAAAAGTGAAAGTGACTGGCGCTGGTTACATAACCATAAACATTCCAAGCAACAGAAGAGCTCGAATTATATCAGCGGAGTATCTTCCCAGGCTTGAACCGTTCGAGACACCAGCAGGGGCCTCTGGATGTCAATCGGTGGAAGGTCAGGACCTTCAATTAGGCCGTTTCAGTTTTACAGAAGAATTTAAACCGGCTTAACGTGCGGTATTTACCAAACGACGAATTTTGTAGGTAAACAAAGGCGAGCCTTGCACTTTTCGAACAAGAAGTCCTTTTTATACCTCGGTGCTTTGATTGTTATCGAACTCCGCCGTCGTGTCATTGCATGATGGGAATACCGATGGGATCCGAATAATAACTTAATAAAAAGGTGGGATGACTTCACTGTGTTTTTCTTCAATTGTCTGACCTCCAAAAACGCAAGAATATATCTCGCATATGAACATTTTTACATGCAAATGTTATTTATGTCCCCAATTATCGGCAAGAAAAGGCATTGAACTCAAAATTGTTACGCAGAAGGTCATCTGCCATGATTTTAGCGACGCGTAATGGATAGAGAATTGAAACTGTTTATAAATGAACAAACAGTAAATTTTTAAAGGAACCGCACGAATTCAACTTGAATCCGATTTGAATTGGTTTATTTGAACGAAACATTCTTCAAATTTTCACGATCATTGCCCCGTTATGATTCACTTGTCAAGTTTAAACATTGTTGTAGATAAGCACGACCTCTAAATACTTAACTTTCCCTGAAACAATTGTAGTTGTAATCACCAATTCATAGCCTTTGAAGGTGTTAGTCTAGGATATAGTAAGTTACAATTACAAATAATTAGTGAGTGAAAAAAAATGCGACAAAAAAATAATGTTTAATACTAATTAAACATTCTTTTCTCAATCTAAGGGGCGCAGTACAAAATCTAAGCGCGAAAGGGAGGCTCATGGCAAAACAGCTGTTAGGGGGGCGCCAAGTAAATTTGGGCGCCAACGCAATTCGGCTTACCTTGTAGATCCCATCTACCAGCTTGATCAACTCCTCGGTCTCCATGTCTCCGGGGTGGTGGGTCGTAGTTTCAGGAAGCGAACTCAGTCACTCGAAATACTCATAACAGTTCAGATGGGGAGCACTGACGGCCAGCATTAGGCACATCAACGAGAACACCCCGGTATCGTTATTCGGACGCACTAATTCAATTTGGACGATTCGGAAGCGGCGGGCAAAGTACCAGCGACCTTGTTTGCGTTCTATATCGAAGGCGGTCTCGATGTTTACACTGGGTGTTTAATTAGGCGGAGGTCTGGACCGATGCGGCTTAACTTTGTCGGACCTGATCTGTAACAGAAAGGGGGTGAGTTAGGGGGGCGGACAAACACATTACCTAATTGACATCACGGAACCACAGTAAATAAATAATTGCCGAATTGAGATTTGAGGATGTTTATGTGGGGCGTGTTAGATGTCCGACAAATTTGTGGAAACCACACGTGTGTATAGAATAAACGCAAACAACCCTTTTTTTATTTCTACTGAAACGTCTGCGAATATCTCAAAATGTAAATTATTTTAAACTACAGCAACACTTGTGCACACAAGTTGATTATTTTCAATATCCAATTTAGGAAATTAGATTAGTATCTAAGAGAAAATCCTTAGAGGAATTTAATTAAACACAGATATTTGATTTACGGCGGTTTCATATCTACCATCATCATTTCTTGTTTTACATTTCTAACGAGTTACAGACGTAGCTTATAATCGAGTAAGAGAATACTTATAAAAGTTATCCAACGGCTCTGAAGCTCTGGAAACCAGTTTCGTCGATAAGTTACGGAAAAGTATCTCCAGCAACAAAAACTGCTTCTATCCCAAGATGACAACCCGTCTAGAAGTTTCCGGCTTCGGGCAAACTTTTGCGACTAGTTGTGCCCTTCTCTTTGAGGATCAGGGTCTGTTCACACTTAAAGTTTACTAAGGACGGTATAAGGATAACAAAAATAATTTAATCGGAAATTTCACAATTAATACAGTTGATAGGTAGGTACGCTTGATCTTAATAGAACGTTACAAAAAACAATTTTTACCGTTTATACCTACTAAGCAGATCAATTTTACATATTGAAAAGTTTCTTTGAATCCTGCTTGTAGCACAAAAAGACGCACACGACATTACAAACATATTTTTAATTCCATTATAACTTGTCCTTGACCTTCGCATTTAGACAACTCGAAACTCGTTCGCTTGTTGTGAGATAATTCACTTCATTAAATGTTTACAAACACACAATGAGGGATTATAATCGTATTACGGTCCTTTTATCTTAATGCAAATTTAATTAAAAGCAGAATTCGCAATTGAATCTGATCCTGCCGGGACAGTAATGGAGCGTAAAGTCGTCGGATGAAATTGCAGTTTAGGATCTTGAGATTAGCCCATAAAATTGAACAAATAAACTTTGTATGTTACTATGTTAGCACAGTACCTGAAAAAAAAATGTATGAAACGCGATGTATTCTGACATATTCCGTCTGGGCTTTGATTTGACAACAAACTGTGTACCCGCATACGAAAAATGTAATTTATTACATTCATTACGGGTCATTAATAATGGGAGATAATATCCAGGGAGTGTATCAATCAAGGAGGCGCGTTAAAATATTGGGGCTGTCAAGGGGACTGGACGAATTGAATGAAGACGGAAGAAATAAAGGATTTGGAAACGAAACGCGAGATTCGAGACTGCTATTTATCAATTTATTAATGTAGTGAAATGATTGCACAAATTTTAGAATGATGAATAAATGATACTGAAATTAAATCAAACATAACTTTTGACAAGATACGTAGGTAGTTTTATAACGTTTCCAGTTTCCAGAATTTATCGCGTTTACTAAGGAATTATATTTATAGGAGCACAGACAAGACCGCGTAGAAAGTGCCGAACGAAACAAGAAATCGTGGCTAATAATTGAAACATAAGTAGATGTTGAAGTACTGTTTGCAACCCAATTTCTCTAAATTTACAAACTAAACACAAAGTAGATCCGCACGATGAAAGTCAGATGTGAAACATGCATTAGCGTAAATCACTTTTTCTTTGGAAGTGACAGCCAAAAAAAGGAGTATAGAGAAGTTTCGCGCGAGGAACCACCAAAGAATGTGTGTTCTGTGTCGTTCCAAATGCATTATAAATAAATATGGGCCCACAACAGCTTTAAATTAAGTCAGGGCATAAATTATGTTCTTGTAAAAAAATAGACTGCGGGAAGTCTTGTCCGCTGCTAGCATTTTAGAAGCGAAGTAGATCTATAGCCCAAGTTAGTTATTTTACGATTCTAAAGGTACGTGATGCCGCCGCAAAATCGTTTCTTTTAACTTGTATGTCGGGAGGCGACAGTGAAGGGAATCACTACAAAATACTAATCTAATATGTATTGTTTGCAACTTTTATGGCAGTAAATTCTTCTTTAATCATGAATAAATAGGTATTATTTACTTTATCTTCTTGGTTGCATGTCTTAACCTTTTCAAAGATCCTTTACTACTTACCTTTGACCTATCGAAAGGTTTTGTAACGTTTATTAGTTAGAATGTAGCAATAACGAGAATGTCTAGTTTTACAGAGAAAGGGACTGGAAATCGTCTCGTGATTCTCGACTGCGTGTTGCAAACATAACTTAGACTTAAGACTCAACTCAAAAAAAGTTGTTGTTGGTATAAGTTTCAGACATCTAGCACAAAGATGAATTTATATGAACTTTTTACTAGGTTTGATCAAAGAATTGCGTTTAAAATTTTGTCTGCGCGGAATATTATGATACCCTATAGTTTTTCCGTTTCCAAAGCACTGTTATGAAATATACAATAAAATGCGCTCGAAATATAAGTTACCTTCAAAGTAAGTCGCACAAAAAATATCCTGCAGAGTACAACACGAATATCAAAGGGCACTACGCCGACCACTACGTCCACGACCTTTTCCTAGGGCGCGCAGAGACTTGAAACCAATTTTCCACATTCCCGACAAGCAGGTGGCACTCGCACAAGTTTCTCTTTCGTACGAACACAACAACAAACGCGGAGGACGCGGGTTCGACGTGAAAATCTCGTGCACCAGATTGTCGACTAGGAGACGACGCGATGAGTAGTAAGGCTTCTATTTCAGCTCTCACCGCGCTCGCCGATTGCCGTTCCCACCACGAGATATATCATAGTTCGCTGTTAATGGCATATCAACTTTTCCAGGTCTTGTAGCGGAGCTGGGGGATCAAAAATTGGTGTAGACGTTAAATTTAGTTAAAGGGTAGATATGAAATAATTAAAAAGTGCAACTAAATCTAATCCTATTCGTCCCTATTGTGTCGTCGAAAGCAGCGACCGATTAAACGCCTGTTAGAGGCAGGCGTAGACGAAACTTAGCATAAAAAATATGTTTCAAGAGACCTGCTAACGATGATTTCACGCTAACTTTGTGGACTAATCGAAAGTAATGCTTGGCAAGTCACTTTTGACCGGCCAACGCACAAAAAATATCCTTCGGTAATGAATGAGCTTGTCACACAAGGTAGTAGTTGTTTTGACTACGTTTTAGGTTAAATTCCGTTGATTTTCTTTAAATTAAGCAGTTGCAGTTCTCCATACTCAATCATCGGGACATATTAACGAGATAATTCAAATTTCCAGATCCTCTTCCCGGTGAAGCGGAGGAGCCTTTGAGTTATAAGCGATTCCCTCGTATTCTTCCTGAATGTTAATGTGATTTTTATTGTTGTTTATCTTCGGGTCCCTTGCGGAATTATAAGCCCTTATGATTGATGGCTGCCGCGCAAAGTAATGCCGCGTAATTCTTCGACCAAAAGGAAAAAGGGCGCACCGAAACGCCGATGGAATTTTATCGGAACGGAATTTATCTTCGAGTATTCCAAGAGCGTCCGACTGCCACTCCAAGAAACAATCGAAGTGCTCATAACAGTTACAGTGTATCAGAATTAGGTGTAACTGTTATCCGCGTGCGAGACAAGGCTGTTTTTGAAATTCGCTACATGGCAAACGGGCAGAATAGCAATTAGTCCAGTCACTGAAGTATTTTGTCTACCAATTTTTTTGGATGGAATGGATTGGCGTGAAATTTGAACTGTTAATACTTTTTGAGTTATTTGCGCCTAAACATGTTCGGTTTTAGCCCCAAAAATGCATGATTTTGAGCCATTTTTCGCGAATATCTCAAAAACTACAAGTTTTATCAAAAAAAAATATCATAAGCAAAAATAAAGGTAATTAAATAGCAAAGAGATTACTTTTTTTATTTTTATAGTTGGTATAGAACCCGAGTTATGACTCCCAGAAGTTGAAGTCAATTTCGAAGATAGCTATAATCGAAAGTTCAACGTCCTGTGGCGGAAAAATTAAAGGTTTTTCAGGGAAAACTTATATAACACCTAAGTTCTTGAAAAGACCTTTAAATTGAGTGGTGTTGGAAGTCGTTAGCATGAAAACTAATGAAGTTACAATCAAAATAAATTGATTGTCTTGATTTTTGAGAAAAAAAATCGGTATTAAAATTAATGACTTGACGAAAAAAATATTAAACGTATTCCTTCTGCAATTTACTTTATTTATGTATTAACAGCAGATTCTGGGAATTTGAACGATTTTAGAAGCCCAAATTTAAAAAATATTTCATTTACTTTTGAATAAAATTTTTCAATTTTTTAAAAAATCGCCTTTTTTCAAAATATTTCAAACACTTACAAAGTTATAAAAAAAATGATAGAATAAGAAATTGTAGGTTGCTTTTTTTAAATTTTTGTAGAACAAAATTTGACTGAATTATGACCGTTAGAAGCTTAAAACTAAGCTCCAAGACTGTCTTTCCTTAACCCTTTTATCTTACAAATCTAAAGAACGAAGGGCTCAAAAAAACTGCAAATCAATATATATTAAAATCTGATAGCTCCGTCTGCGTCGCACGATCGCCTCGAAAAAGGGCCGATCTCCCGGACGATAGACTCTTTCCAGGGGCCGCGAAGCGGCGGGCGTCTCGGCGAGAAGCGTCGCGACGTCCTTCCCGCGTTGCGACGTCGTATTTAGAACGCGCTAACTCGACGCCTTCCCCATGAATTTTTCGAATTCCCCAGGCTCTGCGAGGGGCGCGGCCCAATTTTTGTGTGAACGGCGATAGTGCGACACGCCCTCCCGCTGCAAGCTGACGATCGCCGATCGCCTCGAATCGCGCCCGGGTACGGCTTATTTATTTTTTATTTCCCCCATTTTCTACGATATTTTATTTAAAACCGTGCCGAAAATACTCATATTCGTCGACCGGGTGCCTTCTTCCAACTTTTTATGTACAACTTTCCGCGAAATCAAACGCGGGATTCGAAATGCGGCCGTAAATACGTTAAAATGCACTGTCTAGGAAGGCCGAAAAATTGTGAATTTTGCCGCATAAAATTTCTTCTTCGCGAGCCTCGAAACGGCGTGCGACTTGGCACAGATACTCAGTCGTTCCTCCTTAGTCGTTCGGGGGCATTTTTGTAACGTTTTTTTCGCGTTTTCATATTTAATTTTGCCTTCTTTTTGGGGTCTGCTCGACGACAGACGACCATTTCGCAAGCCGTAAGATTGAAGCTTTAAGACACGCCCACCGGGAGAAAATTGGAACGTCGTTAGAAACGTCAGATTAATTATGTCAAAATAATTTCACGCCAAACGCGAAAGACGTCTGTGGGGTCGCGACGAACCGTTATTTTACCTTACTAGGCCTTTTTTAACCTTAATACATTGCTACGCCACGACATATACAGGTATTTCTTATTATTAGGTTAGGTTGTTATTTACATTTTCGCAGCTCTACCGTTTGACATGCCTAGGATTACGATACCTGTCCCCCGAATAAACGTAAGTACTTGCCCTCTAAAACAGCATAATTTTAAACCAATCCATAGTACCTAAACCCTTGAACCTTTGTATTAGTACATTTGCTTCGTTAATTTACTATATTGCATTCGTATCTATTACTCCCCAAACGTCAAAAGTTAAGAATAAGTTGGAGTTAAAGACTCTTTCAAGTTATAGGATGTCGTTATTTATCTGTGTTATCTCATTGTGGATCTTTTGCGAGACGACTTTGTGTTAGAAAAATGCAAATTTAACATTACAAAAATTGTTTATTACTTCAGCTGTGAACGACGACACTACGCGCTCAAGCCAGATTGGAAAACTACCATTTTGGCGGACGGACTGGGTTTCTCCGCGAGATCCGAAGCGGCATAACCGCGCCTCATCTCCCTTCGTTCGTCGCTTAATGAAATTTTTGCAACTTTATATTCGCGTTTTCAAATGTACCTTTCTGGGTGGACTTCTCACTGACATACGGCCATTTTATAAGCGAAATAGAGATTCAACCAGCCCTGAACGCAAATCGACGAAAATCTGAAAATCACGAAGAATGTCAGATTGAAACGTCTAAATAAATTTCACTATATTTGACGTTTCCAATTGAGGTTAGAAAATCACAACGAACCATAGATCGATGGAAGGAACAGACTGATTGATATTTGACGTATTTCGTAATTTAGGTTAGGAAATCAGACGGTACCTACTACGCGATTTTTGACGTTTCTAATTGAGGTTAGAAAATCAGAAGGAACGTACTAATTGATATTTGACGTGTTTCGTATTTTAGGTTAAGATATCACACGGGAATGACAAGACGATATTTGACGTTTCTAATTGAGGTTAGAAAATCAGAAGGAACGTACTAACTGATATTTGACGTGTTTCGTATTTTGGTTTAAGATATCACACAGGAGTGACAAGACGATATTTGACGTTTCTAATTGAGGTTAAAAAATCAGTGGGGACCTACTAATTAACATTTGGCGTATTTCATAGATGACATCGAGGTGAAAAAATCAGATGGACCTACTAGGCGAAAATGACACTTTCAATTGATGTTAGAAAATTAGACGGGACTTACTAGATGACGTTTGATGTATTTATTTAAACCAAAAATTTTTTGTTTACTGATCAAAGGCCTATTTCAAACTTTTTACATAGAACGTTTCGCGAAATTAACGCAAATTCGAAGTGCGGCAGCTTAAACAATGAACGACGACACTACGCGCTGTGTCTCAAGTCAGACTGGAAAACTAGCATTTTGGCGGACGGACTGGGTTTCTCCGCGAGATCCGAAGCGGCATAATCGCGCCTCATCTCCCTTCGTTCGTCGCTTAATCAAAATTTTGCAACTTTATATTCGCGTTTTCAAATATATCTTTCTCCATGGACTTCTCACTGACATACGGCCATTTTATAAGCGAAATGGAGATTCAAAGAACCGCGAACGCAAATCGACGAAAATCTAAAAATCACGAAGAATGTCAGATTGAAACGTCAAAATAAATTTCGCTATATTTGACGTTTCCAATTGAGGTTAGAATATCACAACGAACCATAGATCGATGGAAGGAAAATACTAATTGATATTTGACGTATTCCGTAAGTAATTTAGGTTAGGAAACCAGACGGGACCATAGAACTTATAAACTACTGGATTCGCCCGACTGTCATTTTGCCAATATAAACGGCAATGGCATAGACGTGTGCGAGAGAGATAGAGCTGGTGCGGGCTAATGCTTCGTTCTTAAAACTTCAAGTATCGCGCGAATTAAATTGAATTTCTCTTCTTTTAACAATACATATTTGTACGACTAATTTTAATTAATTATTATTAACGAATAAGAGCATAAGCACTCTTTGTTTATATAGAATTTTTGTACAAATTGGAGGTATTAAAGGGGGAATGTAATAATATTTTTTTTTAAATCTTTTCATGAAAAGTTATATAGTTGCTAACCAAAGGGTTTTTTTGAAAATCCATATACTGCATGTTCTACATAACTGACCCAAGTCAAAATTATCGGTCTAGAGACTTCTGTATATTTCAGAAATTTATTGTCGCAATATTTTTATAAAAAATCTTATATTGTAGAACTCAGAGTCATTTTGCAAATTTATATACTGAGTGTTTCATAAAAATGACACAGGCGGACTAGGATTTTTTTCTCATTTCACTACCTACCTAAATTTTCAAATAGATATTTCTACACACGGTGTCAAATGTTTCTTGC